CAGACAGGAAGAGGAGAAATAGGCGAACTGGCGGCTCTAGTGGTATAATTTTAAAGCAACATAAACTATATTGATATAAACAATATTGTCTCATCCTGTATCTCATATGAAAATTTAGCGATATATCTTAAAAACTCGATACATCCCAACACAGCCCAGCAGTGTGGTCATTATGTCCATGTTGTCCTTTTTGTTGCATGAGTGTGGCCCTTATATTCATGTAATCCTTTTTAGTCATATGAGTCCATGTAGACCTTTGTTGGCATATCAGTGTGGTCCTTATGTCCATGTAGTCCTTTGTTGGCATATCAGTGTGGTCCTTATGTCCATGTAGACCTTTGTTGGCATATCAGTGTGGTCCTTATGTCCATGTAGAACTTTGTTGGCATATCTGTGTGGTCCTTATGTCCATATAGACCTTTGTTGTTGCATGAGCGTTGTCCTTATATTCATGTAGTCTTTTTTAATCACGTGAGTGTGGTTCTTATGTCCATATGCTCCTCTTCTGTTGTATGTGTGAATTCTAACCTTCTGCAGAACACCCCTGACACGTTTTGGTGTGTAGGATCATCCATGCTGTTCCTGTCAGACCTTTAACCCCCCCCAAATGTTGCTTGTTGGGTCTCAAGCTGACGCTTATCTGTCACACTGCTTGGTGTGGAGTTATACGGTGGCTGTACCCTTCAAATGATGTCTGGAGAAAATGAGATTAAACACGTCAACACAAACAATCGGTACCATATTTCAAATGATGCTGCCACCTTGTTTGTTCTGTGTGATGCCACAATCCTACAGGGCACAGAGTTTTGGCGATGCAGCAGACCCACATACAGGGCAAAAGTAAACAAAAAGAAACAGTATGTGAATCAATTCAATAAAGGGGATGACAGCTCTTTTAAAATGGAAGCTGCTCTCTTTATTAACAGCCACTATTGATCTAATACTACCAGCAACACAGACAGGGAAGCTACCGATTTATATTCCACTCATGGTTACACTCTAACGAAACACACGCATTCGTGGCAAACATTACACAGTTACGGCATTTTATATTAGCAGAAATGCACATATACACATTAATTTACACTATTTAGAGTACGATGCTGTGCACAGCATACTGGGAACTGCATAATTAGTCCTGCTGACCAACCCTGCGGTGTCACATTTATGTCAGCCAATCATGGACAGCAGGCGGGATCAGAACAAATGGAAAAGTTTACCTTGGGGACCCGACACAGGCAGTGCACAGGAACGGTGGTCACCACAGTGATTACAGCTCATACGACGTCGTTTTAGCAGCATGATGTCATTCCAGTGATTTCATTTGAAGTATATGGCCACCTTTAACTTCAGGTCTCGAACCCAAGGCACATTGCTGCTGTTACTGGCGGTGTGTAGAAGTCTTTGTGCCACTACAGACCGATGACTCACATATGTAATGGGGAGTTACAGTGGCATGCAAAAGTTTGGGCACCCTTGCTTGAAATGTATGTTGCTATGAATAGTTAAGTAGGCAGAAGATGAACTAATCATCAAAAGGTATAAAGTTAAAGATGGCACATTTCTTTAATATTTCAAACAAGATTTCATTTTCATTTCCATCATTCACAGGTAAAAAATACCAAAAAATTGAAAGGAACTGAAGCAAAAGTTTGGGCCCCCAACATGGTCGGTGTTTATTAACACCCACTTTGCCAGGTATCACAGCTTGTAATTGATTTTTGTAGCCAGCTAAGAGTCTTTCAGTTGTTACTTGGGGGATTTTTGCCCATTCCTCCTCACAAAAGACTTCTAATTGTGCAAGATTCTTGGGCCGTCTTGCATACACTGCTCTTTTGGGATCTATCCACATGATGTTTAGGTTGGAGGACTGTGAGGGCCATGGCAAAGCCTTCAGCTTGCCCCTCCTGAGGTATTCCATGTAGATTTTGAGGTGTGTTGTAGGACTCATCCCATTCTTCCCTCTACCAATCACATGTTCCCTGTGCCACTGGCTGTAACTCAAGCCCCAGGCACAATCGTTCCACCCCCCCCCCCCCCTTAACGGTCAGAGATGTTTCTTTGTTTCTTTTCCTGGAAGTCGGCACCCTTTTTTCTCCAAACATACCTTTGCACATTGTGGCCAAAAAGTTCTATTTTGACTTCATCAGTCCACAGGACTTGTTTCCAAAATGCATCAGGCTTGTTCAGATGTTCATTTGCAGACTTGAAGCACTGAATTTTGTGGCTAGGGTGCAGGAAAGGTTTTCTTCTGCTGACTCAAACACGAAGGTCGTGTTTGTTCAGGTGTCGCTGCACAGTACAGCAGTACAGCACCACACCGGAGTCCTCTAAGTCTTCCTGGAGGTCTTTTGCAGTCATATTTTATTTGCCTTCCTAACAATCCAATGAGCAGTTCTTCCAGAAAGTGTTCATGGTCTCCCAGACCTCAGCCTGACCTCCACTGTTCCTATTAACTGCCATTTCTTAATAACATTATGAACTGAGGAGGCAGCTTCCTGGAAAGGCTTTGCTATCTTTTTCGAGCCTTCTCCTGCTTTGGGAACATCTTCTCCTGCTTTGGGAGCATCTCCTGCTTTGGGAGCATCTTCTCCTGCTTTGGGAGCATCTTCTCCTGCTTTGGGAGCATCTTCTCCTGCTGAGAGGAGCCCATGGATGCCGAATGTTGTGACAAGGTTTGCGGAGTCAGAGAATTTATTTTTTATAATGAATGTCTGGGACCTTGGTAACTGTTATCTGAGAGCTCTGATATCTTAGGGGCCCAAACTTTTGCTTCAGGCCCTTTTCATTGTTTTGGTATTTTGTACATATGAATGATGGAAATAAAAATGTAATCTTGCTTAAAATATTAAAGAAATGTGTTGTCTTTGACTATGCCTTTTGGTGATCATCTTCTCACTTAACGATTCACAGTAATGGACATTTTAAGCAAACGTTTGCATGCCACTCTATGTTTTTCTGGATATTTAATCATAGATTTTTGATTTTCTTTTCCTGGCTGTAATAGAGCCTTGTTGCTTGATAGATGAGTTTGTTTGTTTGAAGGACAGCTAATTTACAGGTTGGTTATGCCCTGTATTCCCTATAATCCGAACAGCACGGGCAGTTTATCCTGTATATTGCTCGGTGATGGCAGTTTCCGTGGGCGGTGTAGCTTATTTGCACCGTCCCTTATGCCTTTTCCGCTCTGCAGCTGAGCTGTGGGGTGGGGGGTGGGCGAGTGCAGAGGATGGTGGAGCCTGTCCAGGCATAGCAGCACTGCCATGGCTCCCCCACTGAGGAGAGGCTCTGTCCTTTTCTGTATCTGTGGCACGGGGGACCTGATGGGAGCCCCCCCCCCCAGCCAGCCCACCATGGCAGCAGTTCAGTGTAGGTCCGTCAGTTTGTTCAGCTGCCTCTGTGTGCAGTGACTGTCAGGGATAAATGGGTGTGGCATCTGTTGCCTCGCTGATGTCAGCTGTTGCTTCTGTGGCTGACGGTTGACTGTGGGTGGGGGCTGAATATCCCAGCAGCCCATAACTGGGTCCTGTTTTGGGCCTTGGATCTTTCCTCTATTCCATGGGGTATCTGCAAACCACACAGATGTTTCTGCTCTGACTGTAAGACTGGAAAACTTGCCAAACTGCCAAGGCCTTGGTGGCTGTTTTATTTGGGGAACTGGTCCCAGTAAAACGGAACAAAGATGGGACCAGATTGTTTATCAGCAGCTGTTCGTTAAGAGTCCCTGGTTAAAAATTGCCGTTATTTGCACAACACGACTTCCCAATGATCTCAGGTCAACAGGGATGACCAAAAGGCTTATGAACTTTGAAATGGGGTCGTGAATATTTCACTAATTTAGTGAGTAGATAATCCAATAAGTGAGGCTTCAGAATAATCGCTCTGAGAGAGAGATCAGAACAGCAGTAATACCAACAGTGACACGCCTGGCTTTGAGATGGGGTGTAGTGTTGTGTTGAGTGTAACGTGTCACAGGTGATGGTCAGTGACACTTATCGTAATGCCACCTCCGCTGCTTACTGAGTTGGACCCCCGCCCGCTTGCTGGGGACATCCGCTGGTCTGCACGGCCTCGTGGGCCGTCTGCTTCCTATTGAATGTGCGCCGTGCTCCCTTTCTATGTGACTAACAAAAGGCTTTATACGTCTGCTGTCCTGCCCCTTTCACGCCATCCCCTGCTGCGTAGACTCTCTCTGGAAGTTATGACCATCCTCTGTCGCTGCGAGAATATCGAAACGTCGGAGGGTGTCCCCTTGGACGTGACGGGGGTCGCTCAGGTAATGCACCGCTATAGGACACGCCTGGGGGGTCCGACACACACCGAGCAGGACTCTAACCGTGTGCCTCTTCTTCCCCCCCCTTCTGTAGCAAAGGATTCTGGGAATTGCAGTCCCCTTCTCGCTCTGTCGCTGTCTGAGTGCTTTGGCAATAGGTCCCGTAATGACTGTTAAACTAATCCATGGTAAAAGGAAAGGGGGAAAAAAGGCTATGAGTCTGTCTGCTGGACTCTACCTGTCCAATTAACAGATAATATCCAGCTGGGTATCCTGACTCTCAACAGCATTACATCATGCACTGTTGCCAACGCGCTGGGAAGGTTGGGCTTCATTTTGTTGGTGTTTGGGGTTACTTTTGAACCCCCCTCCCCCTCCCCCCCCCCCTTTTTTTTCATTGCTTACCAAGAACGTGCCAAATTGTTTACGTTTTCCACAGGATTACCCTTGAGATTATGACCCTGCAGCCCAAGTGTGAGGATGTAGAGACAGCGGAGGGTGTAGCTCTTACTGTCACTGGGGTTGCACAGGTAAATGCCTCTTCAGCTCGCTTTTGGTCCAGCCTCACCCAGACCTCCGGCGATGTGCAGACGTGCAGCGAGTGAACAGAGTCACTCCACAGGCTTTGTTGAAGGCCAGTCGCTCTCCTTGAAGTGTCTACACCCCCACTAGCTTTCCTGTTCCTCTCCGCATATACCACACGTACAGGCAGCCATTTTTAAGTGACCGTTACGTTTGTTAATTCAGAGATCCTATGCTAATTTTGAGAAGTAGTATATTGAAACAAAATTTTTCAGACCTAGACTGTACCTGATGTGGGGGCGTATTCATTTCGCAGGGAATGATTGATCTTAAAAAGAAGAAAAACATGTGTTAACTTAATGTTTTACTGTTTTACCTGAAATGCTAATCTGCATCCATACCTTCCCTTTCTGTTAGTTTTATTATTTTGTTCTCTCTGTGCAAAGATTAACAGTGTGTTGTTTGCAATATTAGATGCTGTCAATGAAAGTTTGAAAATCACAGTCATTCCTTCTTACAATCTTGGCCCATTGGTTCACCATATTAAAACTGCAAAAACTTTTCTCCTCACTCATAGATAATTCAGTAAAGCGTCTGCTCTCACCTGCAGCCAATCAGAAAAACATCTCCATAATGGTCATACTCATTTGAACCTTGGCTCAGTTACTGGTGTTTGGTTGCTCTTCTGGAGTGGGCCTTTGCTGTCCAGCCTCCCTGTGGTTGGCCTCTGATGGGCCTGGACCTCAGCTTCTGGTTTCTTATCGGTAGGATGTATGTCTGCCTGTAACAGCCTGCAGTCCATGCATTTAAGGAACAATTGTAAAGATAGATTTATGGAGGTGTAGCCTAAGCACTTCAAAGCTATTCAGATGCATGGATTCACTTCTCATCCTCACCGTCGATGGAGAAGATGTCAGGGCTCACTGAAGCCTTGAGATGCTCATCTTCTCTCCATGGATGTTTCCAGACCACGCTACTTCAGTGCAGTTAGAACATGTACCCCTCCCCCGCACTTGCTTGGAAAGCTGACCTTGAGACCCTCAGCTGTTCGGGTGTATGTTCCCCGTGCGCCACCCAGTCGTCGCCCCGGGAAACCGTAGCCCCCCCTCCCACCCCTTGTGTGGGAGGGGCTGACACAGCTATTGTCCCTCCTTAGGTTTCTAGCAGCACCACCCGTGAACCCCCACTGCTTTCATTCTGTGGTGGCCCCCCTTCTATAGATGAATGTAATATGGGTTACGCACATTAAGTGCTCCTGAATTTATAAAGACTTTGGGGCATGTAAGAATTTTATTGCTGATTTACACTGGAAACCTGTGGTCAACATATTTTGTTATCCAGAATTAGAGGTGGGCTCCACACTTCAGAAGAGCATCGCATTGGTTTGCTGAAGTGGGATGTTGGTGTGACAGTCCTGCTTTGATGGGGGGGGTTTCATCCTGAAACTTTCTGGCTGTGTGGCGAGCGACTGTGTGGTCACAAACTTAATAGAGATGAAGAGGGCACATCTTCATCTTACTCATGCAGAGCAAGAATATGGTTTGCTAAGTAGCTAGCCTCAAAGATAGCTCTGTTGCTTTAATGCTTGTTTGTCATTGTGGGCTAACAGGACGTGTATGCTAACTGAATGTGTCACATGGGAGTGTACAGCAAGGATTTATATCTTTGTTTAGTGTCCTTTGTCAGACCGGAGCCTCACAATGACAGAAACCTTCATTAATTGTAATGAGGGTGTCCTTAAATTTCTAAGACTGTTTGTAACTAGATATCTACAACTAGGTATACATTTTGGCAAAATAAGCCAAAAAAGGCTTGGATTGTACTACATTTGGAAAGATCCAGAAATTGCTTCCATTAAACAGTGACCAAGTATGAGGCTCCCATCTGACTCTCTGCATCACTGTCATGCTATGAGGTGGTTCAGGCACATTATACAGCCACACGGTGCTCTGATTACTGCTCTCATTGTTTCTCTGCTGCTCTTTCTCAAATCTTTTTGAAGCCTGCACTGAAGACCCCAGGATTTCCTGACCGACTTCTCTGGATCGTCTCATTAATGCTGTTTTGTCTTCTTGCTAGGTGAAAGTTATGACTGAGAATGAGCTGCTGGCTGTAGCTTGTGAGCAATTTTTGGGAAAGTCTGTGGTGGAGATCAAAAGCGTTGTGCTGCAGACGTTAGAAGGCCACCTACGCTCCATTCTGGGTATGACTTGGTGGCGAATGGAGACATTTGTGTGATTTTCGTACTGAAGCCCTGCCTTGGAGCACATTACAGGCGTCATTCCCGGTGACCCATGACCTTTCATTGCCAGGCACACTGACCGTGGAGCAGATCTACCAGGACAGAGACCAGTTTGCCAAACTGGTGCGTGAGGTGGCTGCTCCTGATGTTGGTCGCATGGGCATTGAGATCCTCAGCTTCACGATCAAGGTCAGAAGGGTGGCCTGTCTTCGCTCTGCCTTCACTTTCCCTTGTTATGTGACACGGACATGTCAAACACTTTGAGGTCTTCTCCCACAGGATGTCTATGACAAGGTGGACTATCTGAGCTCCTTGGGAAAGACCCAGACTGCCGCCGTGCAGAGAGATGCAGACATCGGTGTGGCGGAGGCTGAGAGAGATGCTGGGATCAGGGTAAGTTCACCCAAGATATCCTCGCTGTGGTCGCTATGGAGAAACAGCTGTTCTGTGCAGTGATGCCTTTCGCTGGAGTAGTGTGATGAGGATTCGTTTTTCAGGAAGCCGAGTGCAAGAAGGAGATGATGGATGTCAAGTTCCAGGCTGACACTAAGATGGCGTATTCCAAGCGAGAGCTGGAGATGCAGAAGGCAGATTTCAACCAGGAAGTGAACACTAAGGTACCCGAGCCAGGCCCAGTGAGACTGAGACGAGACTGAGACACACAATGTGCTGCACTTGGGTTGTTAGACTGAGACGAGACTGAGACAGCAATGTGCTGCACTTGGGTTGTTAGACTGAGACGAGACTGAGACAGCAATGTGCTGCACTTGGGTTGTTAGACTGAGACGAGACTGAGACAGCAATGTGCTGCACTTGGGTTGTTATTGTTGTTACTCTTGTTGTTATTGATGGTGTCATTTTAATGCCCTGACCAAGATACACAGTTGGAGAATGCATGGATGATGTTCCCGCTACATTTTTATTATGTTCTGCATCTTCTCAGACATTCTCCATATTATATTTTGTGAATGTCAGTGTTTTAATGCCTAGAAACACACCACGCATTAGCTGCCGCAGTTATAGCATTGAACCTCAAACCCAATGTATTGGGTGCAATGTTTCCCGCATCCAGAAAGCGGAGGCCCAGCTGGCGTACGAGCTGCAGGCCGCAAAGGAGCAGCAGAAGATCCGGCTGGAGGAGATAGAGATTGAGGTGGTCCAGCGGAAGAAGCAGATCACTATTGAGGAGAAGGAGATTTCCAGGATGGACAAAGAGCTCATCGCTACGGTTAAGAGGCCCGCCGAGGCTGAGGCCTATAGGATGCAGCAGCTGGCCGAAGGACACAAGTAAGATCCCTTTCAGATCCTTGCGTGCTTTTCAGAAGATGTTCACGTCCGTGATTTCACTAACTCTCCCGCCTGTTCAGGACTCGCTGTCAGGCTGTTACCGATGTAGTTGCTCTTAGCGTTGGGCAGCTTCGGGTTAAATGGCGATCCAGTTGAAGAACTTGCAACTTCCCCATCCCACGCCCAACAGGATTAAGAAGGTACTGACAGCCCAGGCTGAGGCCGAGAAGATCCGGCGGATAGGGGAGGCGGATGCTGCCTCCATCGAGGCTGTGGGGAAGGCTGAGGCCGAGAAGATGAGGCTGAAGGCGGAAGCCTACCAGCAGTACGGAGATGCAGCGAAGACCGCCCTTGTGCTGGAGGCTCTCCCCAAGGTGAGAGCATGGCTCGCCTGGAAATGGCGACGGAAGTGCATCTGTACATCAGCTTTCTGTGCCGAGACATGAAATGCACATCAGCAAAGACCTGTTTGAAACAGACAGATGCAAAAGGCCTTTTGTTCCAACTTCTTAAATAACCTAGAGCCAAATATGATCATATGTTGGAGGAGATTAAATCCATCCCTATGAGCCTTGAGAGTAGCCAGACCACCGGTCCTCAGAGAGCCACTTAAAGCCACACTTTTGTGTGTCCAGATTGCAGGGAAGGTAGCTGCCCCCCTCGCCCGGACCAATGAGATCGTGATCCTGAGCGGGGAGGGGAGCCGCATGACTGGGGAGGTGAACCGCCTGCTGGCGGAGTTGCCCGTGACTGTGAACGCGCTGACGGGCGTGGACCTGTCCAAGGTGAGCAGGGAGAGACACACCCACACAAACACGAATGCACCTTCATATCATCTGCCAGTCTGCCCATTATAGCTCATATTAAAGGGTGTAAGTCAGACCCTTCTCAGTGATGATGATGATGATGATGATGATGTCTGTGGGAACACTGCTGCCCTTTACTACCTTAAAAACAACAAAGGTTATTGTCACACAGTCACAGATGTGGTAATTCATGGTACGATACAAAAGAAAAAAAGGGCAATGAAACTTATTACCACTTATTACTACCAGAGTTCCCCTTTGCGCAGGACGGAGTTGCGGATAGCTGACATCCTGCTCTGAGTTTAACGTGCACGTCTCCCTTTCTGCTCCACAGCTCCCTCTGCTGCAGAAGATGTCAAGCGCTCAGGCGTGAAAGCAGTTACAGAGCCCTAAAGAAAGTCTTTCTTATGCACTCATGTCGACTGCCTTCAAATGCAAACACTTGAAAGTTTTTTTTTTTTGTTTTTTTGTTTTTTAAGAAAAAAAACAAATGAGTGGATTTTTTTAAACCTCTGGTGCCTTAGTACAGTAGGACCAGACGACCACCTCTGTGTATCACCTCACCTTTTAAATTTTATTTTATTATGAAGCCAGAATGAAAGACCATTTTCAGTGCAGTGTGCAGTGCCTATATACTGTCATGTCATAATACAGTTAATTTTATTTGTATTTTTTTAACTTTTTCCAGTAAAATTATACATATATTCGTAGGCTTTTAGAATCTTATTGTTTTTTAAGTCCATACTATTTTTCTTGCATATTTGTTGGGCAGCCCTGATTAAAGCTGGCCTTTGTTGTCCCATAGTTGCATGTGGTGAATCACCTGTATCCGTCTGTTCCTGTGATTTAGACGTCGTTAGACTGCTCTAGGCTGGAGTCGAGCCGTCGTTTCAGGTATAATTGAAGCCCGTGTTGATTTGTAGGTTTGCATACTAAAGTGTAAGAATGTCTGTAGTGATTAGAGCTGTACTTCCCTCACTGCTGTGTGTTTTACTCTTGCTTCCTCCATCTTTTGTCCATGTGGCACATTTGTAAGGTAATGCCCGACTCTGCGGCCCGGCGTGTTCCAGATAGTCACCCCCTTTATCTTTGAAGGCACGGTGTTTGCTGAGAAAGCCAGTCGCCACATGGCTCATCAGGACATCAGGAAGAAAGAATGACTAGGAGTTGCCGTTCTAGCTCTCCACTCTGTTACATAGTGCCTACGCTGCGTCTAAGTGATCGGTCCGAACGGGGCGTCTCAGCACTGCTGTGAGGCGGGTCTGCCGCTTTCTGTCCTCCTTTTGGTTTATTCCGGAGGTTTTGTGCTGTCGTCCGCCTCACCGTTGATGCTGGACTCCGGAACCACACCCTGACTGCCACCGTGCAGGAGAGCTCCGGTCAGTCACATAAAGAACGCAGGAACGTGTGTGATCTTTCTGTTTGTCCTGATTGTCTGAACATGGAAGTCATAAACATGACAGTTAGTGTCTGTTAGTACATGAATGTGCATTACTGTGTTTGTGCATCTCTTTGTACATATATACTGAGTCATATGTAAACTTGTGCATGGATACATACCAACAAATTTGGCCGTTTAGAAATTAGCTGTTACTGGATGCTGTCAGTCCTCCTAAGGCAGATAGGTTCCTCACAGTGTATGCAATGGACTCATCATTTGCGAGACCAAAGATCTGACAACTGTAGATATTTACGCTCTGTAT